CAAGGAAATCTTTGGTTAAATATTAATAATGTATTCCTAAAACCACATACACTGAAATGTTTACTTAAAGGTAAAAATTCTAATAACTACAGAAAAATACAACTATTTTATAAAGCATTTACACTAAAAAAAAAAAAAAAGTAACTGACAAAATCACCATAACATACTGAATGACAGAAGAGCCTAGGTGAGGGGCTGGGGATGTGGCTCAAGCGGTAGCGCGCTCGCCTGGCATGCGTGCGGCCCGGGTTCGATCCTCAGCACCACATACAAACAAAGATGTTGTGTCCGCCGAAAACTAAAAAATAAATATTAAAAAAAAAAAAAAAAAAAATTCTCTAAAAAAAAAAAAAAAAAGAAGAGCCTAGGTGATAATTTCAGTGTTCCAACAGCCCTGTTAATAGCAGGTTAAGCATTTTGTCTTGTCAGATCACTACCAAGCAGTACTGTATTTTACCACAGAGGCAAAAAAGGAACTAGCCATTAGGTAATATAAAAGAAGTTACAATTTATAGTAATAATTGGATTGTGACTCAGTTAACATGTTCTTAAATCCTGGCTTGAAAAGAAAATTGTAAATACTTTTAGCATGCTAGAGTGTCTCTACTGCCAAATTTCTATTAACTTATTAATTTCATCCTATGTACATCTTTTGCAAATGTTTTCCATATAGTGTTTTTAAATATCTTAGCATATGGTAGAATTTACATTAATTTTTAGTTTTCATTTTTAAATACCTGTTTTACATAAGCAAAATAAGAAAATCTTAGCCAAGAATCTTTGAGGGAAATTGCATTATGTTCAAATAAAATGATGATACTTGGCCCAACACAATTAGTAGAGCATGTAAAGTCAAGGCAGTTTTGAGAGGTGGGAATGAAGTTCATAATAATCCACCCATACTCCTCTCCTCTAGGCAAGTGTATAGGATGACTACATTGTTAGAGGATGTTTTTAGGGGATGTTCTATATTTAAAAATGAACTATAATCTTGTCCTGATTAAGTTTTGCCTTTCCAAGCAACTTTTTTAAAATACCTAGCTTTGGGCTGGGGTTTGTGGCTTAGTGGCAGAGTGCTTGCCTTAGCAGGTGTGAGGCACTGGGTTCAATTCTCAGCACCACATATAAATAAATAAATAAATAGGTTCATCAATAACTAAAAAATATTTTTTTAAAAATACCTACCTTTAAGGCCAAACACTTGCAAAGTATAATTGAAATATTAAATATTAGCTTGGCCACCATATTTCATTTTTAAAATAATGACATTTTGGCCATTTACAAGTTTTTTATAGCTTTTCAAAAGTAGTTTAAAAATTTTAGTCTCAAAATTAAAAATGTTCCTATTAGCATAATTAAATAACATTGTAGATACTCTAGATACTTTCTTAGAGTTCTATGCCTATGTTATATATGCTATACACATATTTTTAGTTTTTACAATATTGGGCTTAATTATTATACAAACTTTGTGGTGCAAAAAAAAAAAAAAAAAAAAAAAGTCTCTGGGGTTTAAAATCTAGCCAATTAGCTATGCCTTATGTATTTTAAGTTAAAAACCAACAAAATGACAGACATGGTGGTACATGCCTGTAATCCCAGAAGGCTGAGATAAGAGGATCACAAGTTTGAGGCCAGCCTCAGCAACTTAGTGTAGCCCTGTCTCATAAAAAATAAAAAGGGCTGGGGATGGGGCTCAGTGGTACAGTGCTCTGGGTTCTATCCCTGGTACAAAAAGTAATAATAAAAAACAAAAAAGGGTATAAAAACCAACAAAAATGGAGGAAATAAGTCTTCTCCATTTTTCTAACAGATTTCTTGCTATTTCTTAATTAACCCTGAATCAAAACCACTATATTGGTTTTTTTAATGCTACCTCTTTTATTTAAAAGTGTAACCTGAATGTATTTAGATTAGGTTTTTCCAAACTGTGTTATGTTCTTTGGGGAAAAAAGTGGTACAAAGGAGAATCCATGGCAGTCATATTAGGTTAAAGACTCCAAGAAATCATGCAGAAAAGAAACTTGTCCAAGTTCTGCTTATGTTTCCCAAACTTTAGGTATCTGACCATGGAATCTTTTCCTATGTTTGAGAAATGGAGAAATTGTCCTTAAATATATTCTACTAAATCAGTGATTTCCTCTAACCATATGCAAACATAAAAACAATAATTCCTAAACAAGATCAAGTTTCCTCTCATTTATAACCAGTTAAGATGTACAGTGCCCCTTGCCACTTTCCTTTACATGTAATGACAGAGGAATGAGGCACAGTTAATTATTATTTCAGTCCTGGGTTCCTGCCCAAAGCTTCCTAAGCTCATTTTCAGTAGGTCCATTCTTAAAGTTTCAAAAATGCACTTACACATCTGATACAGCAGTAGTGGATATCATGAGTCAAATTCTGACACACAATCTATTTATATATCTTTCATTTATTTTAGATCTAGACAGAAACAATATCTTTGTTTTATTTTTTTATGTGGTGCCGAGGATGGAAACCAGTGCCTCTTGCATTCGAGGCAAGCACTCAACCACAGAGCTACAACCCCAGCCCTCTATTTATATATTTCTGATAAAATATTAGAGGCAATCTGGGGATAGTTTCCAAAATAGGGATGGATATGTGGCTCGGTGGCCAAGTGTCCCTGAGTTCAGTCCTCAATTTAAAAAAGCCATGTTTAATAGTCAACAAAACGAAACTAAAAAGTTGTATTTTGAATAAATGGGATTTTTAAAAAAATAATGTTTATTAAGGTGAGAGAAGACAGAATTTTTTTTTAGAATCCCAAACTTCACAATATTCTCTGCTTTATGCCTCCTCCCCAAACATACATAAATATTATAAAACCTTGTTGAAGGACTTGGGTAGTGGCTTAGAGGTAGAGTGCTTACCTAGCATGTGTGAGCCACTGGGTTCAATCCTCAGCACCACATAAAGATAAAATAAAGATATTGTGTCCACCTACAACTAAAAAATATATATTTAAAGAAAAAAAAAACTTGAACTCACCATAAAAAAAGCTCTATAAATGTTGAGAAAAGCTGAAGAAAAAACAAATAGCTTATGGCAAAAAAAATATAAAAAATTAATGTTACAACTTTAACAAATCACAGAAAAATACTTTTAAATTGTTACAACAGAACCAGTGAAACTACAGCTTTAGTAAGAGAAGTAAGAATTATAAGGACCACATTCTTTGCTTCAATGCTTTTATTACTCTAAAATATTCCATAAGCAAAATATGTATATAAATTCTTTCCATGAACAGCTTAACTATAGACACCCTAACATTTTGGATTTACCTTAACCTAGTTTTTCTTAAAATGGGCTCTGCAGACTCATGAAGACCAGGAGTTTTGTATAAGCAAGTTTTAATTTTAAAGATAATATATAAAGCATATCCTAGATCACCTGAACAACCAGCTTATAATTAAACATTGAATTATTTCAATGTCTGGCGTTATAACGTGTCTATTATACTAGCTTCAAGTAGGTACTGGTAACCTAAAAATAACATTAAGTGTTATTCAAACTGGTCCATACCATTCTCAAAAATCCTTAGGTTCTCAAATTTAAGAAACACTGTCCTAAGCTTTTATAAATACATTTAGGTACAAGGGAAATTCATAACCCTTTGAAAGTCTAACTTACATATCTTATTATTCTCTCCCAAAAAAAAGACAAAAACCCAGGACCTCTTATAAAAGTATCAAATTTATTTCATTATCTGGTTTCATTTTAAAATGAGAGCTGTTGGACAATTACTTAATATTCATTCTCAGAGGTGCAGAAACATTAATAAGCTATTAAATACAATGAATAAAATTACTGGACCATGCATTTAGAAAAGCCATGTTTAATAGTCAAAGTTCCAGTTATACTACTTAAGGAGAGATCCTTTAGCTCTGTACTTTGAATTATACTATTCTCATTTTGAATACAATTTTATTCTATTTGTACAATTATTACTATACCCAACAAAATCTTCCCAAATTTTAAGCCTTTCTTACCATTGAAGAAGTTATGGCTTAGCTGTTAACTCTATTAAAAAAAATATGAAATTTCAATTTTTACCTCAAACTTTTTGGATCAAAAAGTACAGGACATCACTACCTATGAGTTAAAGAATGGAATAAAACCAAAAGTGCCATCTATATAACCAACAAATTACCTGATAAAACTTTTTCACTGTTTCACTGTTTTATATAACACAAAAATAAAATGGTTCCAAGATACTACAGTATTTGGCCTTTTTACTACGAGCTTTAAATCATAGTGTCATTCTTCTCAACAACACATCTCTTAAGAAAATGGCAATGTTCATAAGTACAAAGACTGTTATAACCAGAAGACAGTATTCTACATAATCAAGAAAATTCTTTATAAAATTAGGTTTTAAAAATGAGAATGTCTTGATAATCGCCAGTTGTCTTAAAGGCTAAAATCAGAAAGAAAAAAAAAAATGAAGAAAACAGACTTGTATGCTCATTAATACTATTTTACTTTGAGAAATCCAAAAATGAGTACATTCCAAGGAATAAGCAATAATGATAAAAGATGTGATTAATATACTGTATCTCCTTTAAGAACAAACTTTTCACCTCAGAAAGGATAATTGTCTTATATTCTTAACATATTTTGTTCAGAACAGGATCCCATTTTAAGCCACTATTTGAATAAAGTTCACAATCTAAACTCATTTCTCCATAATCATTTCAGTACACAAGCTGCAAAATGGCAAATAACTTAATCACCTATGAAGAATTTGTATTGCAAGTTGGGTATCCCTTATCTGAAATGTCTGGGACCAGAAGTGTTTGATTTTTTTCAGATTTTGAAATATTTGCATATACATAATGAGATGTGTTGAGGACAGAACCTTAGTCTAAACACAAAATTCATTTGTTTCGTATAGCCTGAAAGTAATTTTATGTGGTATTTTTATATATTTTTAGCATACTTGTGTTTTTACTGCAATTTTCCACTTGTGGCATCATGTTTGTGCACAAAAAAATTTGGATTTTGGAGCATTCCAAGTTTGAGATTTTCTGATTAGGGATGCTCAACCTGTATGTATGCTTATTTATAACTGCCAGTAGATACCTACAAACTTCGGTACCCAAGCCTAAAACTACAGTATGGAGGTCAAAACATGATTCTTCTACATGATCAGATTTCATACTAAATAATACTATCATGAAATCCAAAGAAACCTTAGTGAGTCCTTCCAAAGCTGCATAATTTTCCAAATGATTTTTCTCTGGTTGCAGAGCCTATACATTCCTTCAGTCCTTTTTGAGTCGTTTAGCTTTTGCAATATTCTCTTGACGTTTTTGTTTCTTCTTTTGTTCCTTCTCCCTGGCTTCAATCATCTTGGCCAATTTCCAGGACAGTACAGCACTTGCTAGGAACAGTGGAGTAAGGGCCAAAATAACTGTTGTAAGGAACCCATATGGGTCTTTTGCAGCCCATTCCACAATATACTCAGCCCAAGCCTTTATGTCAAACATCTTTGTAGCAGTCTTAGGAAAACTGGGGGGTCAGCTGGGGATGGACAACAGGAAAAAGACTGTATGATTAATCAAAATTCTGAAAAAAGTTAGAGTTAACTCACAATTCCATTATCACTCAATTTTTTTTAAAGTACAAATTAGTACTATTTTTAATAAGGACTAATTACTCCAGTTAGAGGGGGAAAAAATTCAACTAGGCTAACCAGAATAGCAACTTTTGGGAGGGAAAAGGTGACTACATATTGAACCCAGAGTATTTTACCACTTAGCTACATCCCAGCCCGTTTTATTTGTGATCCTCCTGCTTCAGTGTCCCCAGTTGCTAGTATTACAGGCATGTGCCATTACCTGCAGCCAGAATAGTAACACTTAAAAGATGTAAATTTATAGGAAACAAAAGTAAAAATTATTTGAACTCTGTCTCAAGGACTACTAAGTTCTCATATGCTTCCTAAATTCAAGATAAACTAACAGCACACTTTTACAAGAGTCTGTTTCACATGCTCATTTCAGGAAACAGCTGAATCCTGTTTGTAATTTAATGTATCCTCAGTACTACCAGGTAATTAACAAAAGTACAAATCAAATTTTTATGTTTAAAAAAGGACAAGCCCCAAAGCATGAAACACATTCCCATGGAAAGGAAAGTGATAGATGGCTATTTCCTGAAATGGAATAGAAAAAGGCAAGGGAGCCAGGATGATACCTACATTCATATGCCAAAAGGTATAAGCTAAAAAGTGTGTGCTATTTTATGCCCTTTCAGCTTTGGAGACCCCTACTGAATGAAATAAAAGAAAAAAGTTATCATAAAAAGTGCCATCCATTTTGTTCCTTTTTCTGTTGATAAGGGAAGTCATCTGGCAAATAAGGATTGGATGAGCTTGAATGACAAATTCTATTTTGGCCCACAGGCTTTTGTACCTTTCATGTTTGTGCTAATCTCTATTCAAACTGGAGAATTAAAATACCTGGGTAGGGTATGGGTGTAAATATACTTAAAAATGTCTGCTAAGATTCAAAAAAATCATCTACCTTATGCTTGAGTAGTGATCTCTAATTTTGTCCGGGGATTATCAGTGAGCCAAGCACAATTTCAGATGACCCTTGGTGGTTTTGCCTTCTTTGGTTCCACAGTATACTTCTGAGAGCGTTAAATTCTATAAAATGGATAAGTAGAAGAGAGAAAACATTTAAGTCAGAACTTTCAGGATAACTGTAATGTTTTCACATGGAAAATTTCTAAATTCTGTAACATGTAAAACTGTCAATTACAAACTTTTAAATATCTATTTTTTTTCCAATCTGAGTTTACACAATTATAATTTCCTGTAGGGAAATCCTAATTACTGGAAATCAAGTATTTTACAGAATTATTTATTTCAATAAAATTATTTATGATATTCACTGACTTGTAAGACAAGCTGGCTCGCTTCACCATATCTATTTCTAGAACTTGAACTTTGTATACCAGAAAGGTTGACATCCATTCATTCATTTATTCATTAGATTAAGTACATCATTACAAAAATCAAACACCTAGCCTTACTCTTCAAAGGTATTTTTTTTAACTGTTATTGCGATTCGTGTCCTTTTTTAGGAAAATCAGAAAAGATAAACAAAGCCAATTATTATCCCCAATACCATCACGCAAAAACTGTCATTGGTTTCAAATCCATCTTTCCAGTTTCTTCTCATTTTCAACAAAAATCATGCCTCTATTTTCAACTTATGATACATGACATTAAATACACTAGCCCTCGACTTCAAAACGTCGCCACCCATAATTGGAACCGGGTTCTACTAAAATGGATCCTTCTTCAGCCCAGTAATGCACTAATTAATTTAAGTTTTAGTGAATAAGCAAAAGAACTTTGCAAAGTTAAGCCAGGGCGAAGGACCTGGTTTATGGCAAAGTTTTACTGTTTACATAAAGGCGTTGTCGTCCACAGGCCGCACATCTCTAGTGCACCTCAATAACCTACCAGACGCCCAGGCCTCACACTGTAAGGAACAGATACTACTCTTCTTCCGCCCAATAGATCGATGGGGCTCATCTCCCGGCCAGCCCTGCCTGGCGCCTGAAGCTGCAGCTGGTGGTTCTGGACAGCCAGCCATACTCAGTCCTTTGTCTTGCCCTCCTTCCTTAGGACTCCCTTTGCTCATTCTTCCTTTCCGCAACGGGCCCGTGGGAGCCACGTTTATCCCTGCCCCTCCACCCAGCAAGCGCAGGCCCTCATCCCGCCTCAGGCCGGGCAGGGCTCGCAGAGTAGAGGGCCTCGGGGAACCCGGGTCGGCCCCGCCACACCTTGCGCTGCGGCCACCTCTGCCCGACACCCGGACACCATTACAGAGGCCGCCATCAGCCGCTCTGCATCGCCCCAAAAGCACGGGCTCCCACTTACAACTCACCGCCAGACCGGAAGCAGGAAGGCGGAAGTCGAGTCCCTTGCGTACCGCCCGCAGGCCGGCCCCAGCTCCGAGTCCGGCGTGAGGAAGTCGAGGGGCTAGTTTCCGGCTGCGCCATTGCTGTGGGTCCCGGGACCTCCACTCAGAGGACGTGGGGGGCGGGGGCAGGGCAGCGTGGAGATTTCCGGGGAGCGGCAGGTGAGGCCGTGCGGTGTGGGCGGTGGCACTGGGCTCCCCCGGGGGCCAGAAACCTGGGCCTCCTGCCCGGGAATGGAAGGTGGGCGAGAAGGCGTGGGGCTGCCTCGGGAGCGGGCCCCAAACTGATAGGTTCGCCTGCCTGTGCCCCCGACGTGAGTCGGGAAACAGCTCCCTCTCCTGCTGAAGCTGCACCGTTGGTGGAGGTCCTGGTGGTGATGTCTTTGGCCGCGGGGAAGGGTTAAGAAAGGAGGTAGTTCCCACACACCGCCCCAAAGTCAGGGCGAGTGCCCCTCGAAGATCCTTGAAAGACTGGATAGTTCTGCCTGGTTCACCACTCACCTGGTTCCCCTCTCACGATTGCACAATATTTAAGTCTTCCTGTTCGGGAGGGGAAATAGCAGCTGGGGTAGGATGAATCCACTGAACCTTGTTACTAAGGGGAAATGCTGCCATGCTGTGGGAAAGGGGTTTTTTGTTGTTGTTGTCTGTTTGTTTTTAATTTAAGAGCCTAACTCATTTAACAAAAGAATGATCAACATTTGCCCAAAGTAAACTTGATAAATAATTAAGTTGTCAGGGCATAGAGTTCCCACAGAGGTACTTGTTCTTTCAGTACACAAATAAAGGGATGCAAAAGTCAACAAGCAGAAAGGGTGAGTTAATATTGTCTTCTAATCTACAGGAACTGAAAAATTAGCTCTGGTTTGGTTGGCGCTCAAATTTTGTGATTGCACTGAACTGCTTGCTCTGTTTGTCTACCTCTGGCAAATGTTGCAAGACCTCTTTACTGTTGTGTGCCAAATAAAGCAGGTTTTTGTACTTGAAAGACGATAGAATGTTCTCTTTGAGGAGCAAGCTGCAACATGTATAACTAGTTTAGGTACAACAGTAACTATTATTTACTAAGTAACAGGCTTTTGGCAGATAATCTAACAATCTAAAATACTGTTCCTTGAACATATGTTAATGTTTGTATGTTGTATTACCAGCAGTTGTTATTCATTCTTCTTGGAAAACCTGGATAGTGGTTTAGACCTAGCCTGTACCTCTAGTGGTCAGAAAAAGCAGATTCAGTAACTGGATTGTGTTGCAGGAAACTTTGTACGACTTATTGTTCTTAAAACTTGCCCAAGTACTGAATCCAGAATGGGGTCAGAGTTTATTATTTCACTATCTTTCACTTCAGAGGCCAATGTGTGGGTATTTTATTTTAATCTTGGACTTAGTTTTCTCAAGTACTGCCTCCCAGTATTTGCCTCTTTGATAAAAGGCGCAGGAATATTAAACAGAAAGAAAAGGACCTGTAAGGAGGAAGCTTCTGAAGCCTCTCTTTGACTGTAACCCAGATCATGCCTTCACAGTCTAATTTTACTAATCTAGCTTCAGTTTACAGGGCAGACTGCTAGCCCAGAAGCATGAGGATTTCCACAGTGCAGCTCCATACTGCATTCTGCCTTACCTTAACAAATGGTGGTGATAAAATTTGTTCAGATACAGTGAACTGCTTTCTATAGTGAGTAGTCTTCGTCTGTGAGTCATGGCACTGATCTTTATACAATCTCTGATAAGTCACTCCGAACCTCTTCCATATGTGGAAAGGATCCTAGGTGAGCTAGAGTACCCTTTCAGCTTTAAGATCTGTAGATTGGAGGCTAGGGATGTGGCTTAAGGTAGAGTGCTTGCTTGACATGTGTAAAGAAGTCCTGGGTTCAATCCCCAGCACTACAAAATAAAAAATCTGTAAATCAGACCATATTTGGCCTTTTTTCTGACTTAAGCTTCACAAACAGCTGCATAATAAAGATATTTAGTAGAAATATCACTGCATATTAAAGTCTTATTATTTTTTTGAGAAGATTTTGACCTGACTTTTATTTTCTCAAATGTCTTTCCAAATACCATTTTTGCCATATGTTTGATATAAAAGCCTTTTTCCCATGGGAGATACAAAGTTATATTTCACCCTAACATGTCAAAATTGTGAAGGAGTGAAACCTAAATAACATATTTTAATAATAATTTGATTTAAAAACTTTGAGAACTCTCTCCTGCACATATGCTTTTTTCTCTGCAGTAACTCTTCACTTATTTGACTTAATTCTAATGAAATTGACTTCTTCCCTAAGTGTTATTTCGTGAGTTTTTTTCCCTTTCCTTTGAAACATTATGCAAATACATTTCTTATAGGCATATTTATGTAACTTAAAGGAGTAATTAGGTTTAGTGCTATTTGTAAGATTATACTGAAGAAAAATTAAAGTTTTCAAAACAATTTATTGAGTGCATACTCTATAATGGTATTGAGCTAGATGCTTTTGATTTATTATCACTAATTCTGAGACTATAAATGATCCCTCAGAACTGTATTGCCCATATTTTACAGAGGAGGAACCAGAACTTAAAAAATAGAGCAGGATTCTAAACACATCTCACCAAAATTCCTCCCTGTTTTTCATGCTCAAAGACTTGACAAAAATGCTTATTTCATAAAAATCAAAGTATGTTTTTCATTTTATAATTGTTAACTGGTATCTAAAATTGTTAAATACTGTAATTCAAAATTGCCTATTGCCCAGGTGGTGGCAGCATGCCTCAAAGAGCTGGTATTCGAGGGAAGGGTTTCCCAGCCTTGCTACTTGTTTTCTTCTTCATCCCATATTCATGACCTGTCAACTTCTCTGCAAGGTTCTTTCACTACTACCATATTCCACTGGCCCATCAATCGTTCATCCTGCCTTTAACTTCATCTTCTGTTTGAGTCATTTTCTGCCAGTTTCCTTTCAGCCTGTTTTACCTATAAAGTATCCACCAAATTGTTTTCTAGAAGACTCATTTTAGCCTATTCAGTAAGACAAAGATTTTTTTCAGTTATTTTAAAATCATTATCAAATGTTATTTGGCAGGAACACCTAAGCTAAATATTGGCTAACATTTCTAGGAAATACTTGTTTGAGTTAGAAGACATGCTTGCTTCTTAATCTTATGGATATACCAGTGAAGGAGGTAATGAAAAGCTTTTAAAAGGTGGAATTAGTCTTCAAAATAAGAAAAGGAAGATTTACTAGGGAGCAGTGCAAGATTATATAATTCATAAAGAATGCATATAAATACATAACAGAATAATGAGTTAACCCTTCTTTAGTCAAAAAATTACTTAGTACATTCTTTTCATGTCTTTTCAGGGCCACTGCCTTGCTAGAGGTTTCAAATCAAGTACAACCTTACAAGAGGCCTTCCCACCTCTCACTTTTTTTTCTTCCCACATCACTTAACTTCAGTCTGATACTTATTTGTTTACTGGTTTATTACATTTTCCCACTAGAATGTAAGCAATGAGATCAGTTACCCCAATAGCTAGAATGTTGTTTCAAGGTACAGTGTTGTTCTTTACCAATAAAACTTTATTAGTGTTTGAAGAAATGAATGCTGGGTATTTGTGAAGCTCATGTAAAAGTACCAAGTGTTTGAAGATATTTTCAAAGTCATAAGAGATGCCCTGGAAAGACAAATCTAAAGATAAATAAGATGTTTGGGGAGGGCTTAAAATAATGTGGTTATCCTGTTAATGGAAGAAATTTAGTTAATGATTTCCCAAGTATGTAAAATATTTACAGTAAAGTAGTGATTCAAGAAAGTAGTGACTTATCAGCTTCATTAAGATAAAAGGAATTAGTCCTAGACTGCAGATGCTAAGAGTTATAGTAAGAACAGGCTAAATTAGAGATCTAAACAAAGATCTTTGAAGATGGGATAAAAATTATATGCTAACTAGATGCCCTTCTAGATACTATCTACCCTTATTCCCAATGCAGACCCCTGATATGTAGTAACAAGTAAAAATTTGCCAGTAAATTTTTTTCCATTGACCCCAATTTTTGTTTATTTTTAAATCTGATATCAATTCAGAATCATTAGTTCTCATTCAGTACTAAGGAACATAGGAAATCATTTGGAACTGCATTTCAACGTCTAATTCTAAAAGCTGGTCTGTGACCTTAATAGTCCTCAGGGTATAATGTGTGTATTTGGAATTTAGTTTAAAAAATGAGCAAAAATTTCCTGGTGGCAGACTATAAATATAGTTCCCTAAACCACTATCACTTACAGACATCTTGCTCCTAAATTCTTGCATTTGCTAAATTCACAGTTTGTCTTTAGGCTTCCTTACTTAGGAAGTGAAACAGTCTGAAATTCAAAAAGTCCATTCCAATTCACATAGGTCTTCTTGAAGAATAAGTAATAGTGGCATGATGGATTTCTGGAGACTTTGAATTTGGTATTTTCTAAATTTTTAGATTTTACCATGATCAACTAATTTTCCACTGTGTGGTAGGTAGATACTACCTAACTCCCACCAAAAGAAGGATCTCACTCTGTTGTAACACGCTACATTGCAGTTGTGGAGTTGTATTTCTTTTTCGTTTGGTTTAGTTTTATGGTAGGTTATGGTTTTTGGTTTTGGTTTTCAGTGTTGGGGTCTCAACCCAGGGCCTTATGCACTGTACCACTGAGCTACATTCCTAGCCTGAGATGTACAGTTAATGAGCATAACTGTATTAAGAATCTGATTTAATCTTTCATTCTAGGTTCATATTTGATCTCATTACATGGACCAAGGAAATCATTTACTATTTCTGTGCCTGGGTTCTCATATCCATAAAATAGTGTGAATAATATCTATTTCTTATAAATCTAACCAATTGATGAATAAACATGTAGCCTCCTTTTTTAAAAATAAAAAAGTGATATTTGTAGGATGCATTTGTAAGTTGATTGTTGGAAGCTTATAAGGATTCTCATGGAATTAATATTACAAGTAGTGGTTAAATTCCTCATTCAATCTGTAAATGCACACAGCCTAAGTGGAAAGAGTGCCTCTGCACAAAAATAATAGAATATAATTTTCAGCACTAGTGAGAAAATAATAAAAATTAAATGAAGTTTGAATTGCCTTATACCAAGTAAGATTTTT